GGGGGGGGGGGGGGGGATTTTTAAAGTTTTACTCAGCGATTTAAAGCACTTGCAACACATTAAGGTCATATAAAAGTCGAAGGTTAGAGATGTTACAAGAGAGTAAAAAACCATAAAAAAGAAGAAGGGGAGATACGAACGATAGATGTTTCATAGGAAAGAAGAAGCAAACCACACCAGAGCGCCCGCCAACCACCCACGAAAGAAGGAGCAAACCACACCAGAGCACCTGTCAACCACCCACAAGGGGGGGGGGGGGGGGGGGGGGGGGGGGGGGGGGGGGGATGGGATGGGATTAAATTGTCCTGTCCTTTCTTCAGGAACAAGAGACCAGCTGAACAGACCCAGCACAGGCCAACATCAACATGACCAGCCTGGGAACATCCCAGCAGAGAAATAATCCTCATCAAACAGCAGAGACCACACACACACACACACACACACAAGAACACAATTCTCCATCATGAGATCAAACACACGAGGAAAAAAACAACAATATCACACATACAAGATAGGGAGTTTTGTAGTGCATTTTATTGTTGTTGTTGTTGCATTTTAGAGTTGTTGGCCAAGACTAATGCTCTGAAAAAATTTTGTAATTGTTTTTTTTTTTCCCTTCACAGATTTTCATGTTCAAAGTTAAAACCCCCTCAAATCAAGACAAAAAAAAGCAATAAAAAGTAGCAAAAACAGAAAACTAGCACATTAGGTAAAAAGACCAAGAGGACAAAAGCATAGAAAGTTCAATAACCAGAGCCATATACACATACTAAAAAATAAAAGAGAACAATTTGTTCAAAGGACCAAATGTTCACCTCTACTTAGCATACATCAAATCAAATTTCTCAAACATACAAAAGTAAAAGAAAACCTCAACAAGTAAAATATAAAGAAATAAAATTCCAAGCTGTAATCCAAAAAGGAAACGCCTCCCCCTATAAAAGCATTTGATGAAACGGGAAAAGGCGCAGAATAAAAAGAATTCCCTGGGGGAGCTCCTGTTCATTAGTAAAAAAGGGAAAATAGGGTCTGCGAAAGAGTCCATGACAACAATGTGGTTAAAAGTTAAAAGATTAAAAAAAAAAAAAAAAACTAGCATTGCGCTGTTGGGGCAAAGGAGGGAGTTCAACTGTGAACATGCAAACCGCAACATCCCCTCACCACACACACACCACCACACTGGGCTACTACCAGCACAGAGTTCCAAACCAGTCAAGTTCCCAATATCTCAATAACCAATTGTGCACTAACTGTTGTTTTACACTAGCAGCCTCCATAACACACATTACATATAGCTATGTAGACACCTCTCTCCATCTGTGAGGGACTTTGCTGGTGAGATCAGTTCCACTACCATGTCAGTGTAAAACAAGGGGGAAAACAATGTCCCTTTCAGCCACCACTGTTTAGGATCCAAAAATGTTGTATTCCTACCACGTTGTACTCTCTCTGTGTGAATGATGACGCCCTAACACATTTAGCAAGAGGGAACTTAACAGCAAACTATCTTTGTGCCATCATCATTATCATCCATTCCCCCCCCTCCTGCTTAGTTTGACCGTAGCAGAGCCCCACTCAGTGGCCAGAGGCTGTGCTATAAGACAGTAGCGTCGTGCGAGGTCTCCTCCAATCTATATATATATATGTCTGTGGGTAGACTGCAGTTGCAGCAGTGATTAATCTGTGATTTGTGATGGTTTTCTTTTGTGTAAATCTTCGTCACGAAGAAAATTGCAACTAGATTAAGATGTTTTGTGCAACTGAGATGTGTGTAGCAATGGAAAGATTTGCTTGCTTGCAAGTGTGTCAATAGTTCACATTGCCACTTGTTTCAACATAACACTCAATCTGAAAAGCAACATTAGGTTTCTTCAAAATGTAAAAATAAAACCAACAACGTAACGCTAAAAGATAGACAGAGAGAGACAGCAGAGGGGGGAGGGATAGAAATGTCACAGACTAATTTTGCACTACTTATAAGCCAGACAAATATTTTTTTCCTTTTTTTTCTCCATTTTTTCCTCAGTCTCTCTCTCTCTCTCATTCATTCACTCACTCTCCCTCTCACAAATGCACATAAACACTTCAGCCACTCATTGACGTTCGTTCTGCCTCACAAGCACTCCCACAAGTCTCATGCTTCCCTCAGACACTGCTCTGATTAACTTGCAATATCACAATCACACAGACAAGATGATGAGAGGAATAACATCTTCAGGAAAACAAAAATAAATGTCAATGAGTTTCATACATAAAACATATCTGTCCATTTTGATGCAGGATGCGGCATGATATAAGACAAAACAACACTTTGGGCAAAAGGACTTGTCAGAATGTGGTGGTGGGGTGGGAGGGGGGGGATATGAAGGAAGTTTCTAGATGTCCATACTTTCTACCCACAACAAACGGTCACGTTTTCCTCCCTAGGGGAGCTTACTTCCCACAAGAACGACCAGCTAGATAAGCAAACAAAACTTTCACTCCGTAGGGCAGGCATCGAGTTCATTAGTGTGTGAAACAGAATAAAAAGTAAAAACCAAAGGTAAGTGGTTAAATTAGTTACCATTCACAGGAGCAAAAGGCTCTGTACATGAAGGTAATACATTAGAACATAGGATTGAAGAATAAAATCTACTCCAAATTCTGTAGAGAACTTGTTACTACGCCTTTTGACAAACAGCACATTGCAAACCTGTTAATGGGACACTTGAAGATCAAGCAAAAGTAGTGGAAAAGATTATAAGAGCTGAATATCAGGTTCTCACCATGGAGAAAGCATGGACATAGACCATTCTTACTTTTTTTTTTTTCTTTTTTAAAAAGAACCCAAGAAAATCCCTTTGTCCTTTGCCCTCTGTACATAACAAAATGTTCACATAATATGTACACTGTAGTTGACAGCACTCACCAGATGCTCACAGATGAGCAGCTCATTTGTCCACACTGGCACACAGTCCCTCTACCCTCTGCCACGCACAAGTCGCACTCACTCTTTATGCATATATCACAAAACCTTTTGACGTGTCATCAGCAATCAGTAGCTGTGTAGAACAAAGCAATCCTTATATACCACCTTCAACAACACCAATCGCTATCTGTCCAGTCCAGCTACCCAGGCCCAAGCGGCTGCTCCAAGAGTGACCAACGGTCCCTCCTCCGTCCAAAATGTTTCTACATCTTGTACACCCTGTTGGACACCATTCAAATCCCATTGGAAGCGGGCTGCTTCCACACGGCCCGTAAGGGCCAACCAGGGTAGGATACAACACACCAGCAGAAAGAAAGACTGAAATATTCCACAAGACAGCTTACCCACATGGGAATCTATCTCAAATATCCCACAAGACAGCTTACCCACATGGGAATCTATCTCAACTTCCATCTTCTGCAGACCGATGCAGAGAGCCGTAACCTTTACAGCACAGACGTCTGGTTCCCCTGTCCACACGACAGACAGCAACAACAAGTGTCTGAACTACTCCACCACAACCAGACACCCCCCGACCCCACCCCACTAGACTGCTTTCCTCTACACAGCTATACTGGCAAAACAATCATGCTGGAAGATTACACATCCAGCTCCAGCAATATCTTCTCAGAAAAAAATCAAGACCACCTGGTGATTTTTTTTTTTTGTTTTTTGTTTTCAAATTACATCTCAAATCATTTTTTGTGTTTTTTTTTTACAGACATGAGAAACATTATGGCATCAAAATGACAAATATCAGAAAAATCAAAAACCACCAACATGAGTTCCACATATCAAGAAACGAAACAATTCCTCCCACACAATCAGTTCTACAGCTACGAATAAGGACAGGGGTCAAGCCTCCCTCACATTAGCAGGCTGTATGAAGAAGGGCTGGCTTCCAGCTAGCTGTGTTCCCCACTTTCAGAGAGCCTCTCATAGAATCCTCTCATAGAATCAACTAAAAACCACCGACTTCAAGTGCATAGAAAATAAGAAAACCTGGACCAAACAGAGACAAGAACCCCCCTCCCCCCTCTCAAGCAATGGTCACCAAAATATTTGTTAAAAGACCACAAAATCAACAAAAACAAAAACCCAGCCCCCGAAAGAAAAAGAAAAAAATGCCAAGCCCACCTGAATAACATGAACAAGGATGACAAAGGCTTAATATACATAAATGTGTATAAATATGTACAAGACAATGACACTTAAAAATTCAATAAAGAGGCTTCCTTCTGTGGCTCTTGTACTGTAGTAAGAAAACGACCTTGTGCTCTGAGCACTGGCTGACCCTGACAGCTACAGAGATCTAAACCTCCAAAAGACAGGGGTTTTCCAGGAAGGTGATTCTGCTGTTGGAATACTGAGGAAACGGGAGCTGAGAGGAACGACATCTTTTCCTACACCATCTGATACTCAATGTCCACACATAATTGGTCGCTTTTAAGGACAAGCGGGCTAACCCAGATTTCAGGGGGTTTCCAGAAATCTTGACCTACACCAAAAGTGGGCATTGCACTACCTATAGGAGAAGTTTGGGTTCATTGGTGTGTATATTTGTTTGGTTATAGAGAAAACTATCCTTGTCTTTTAAAGAAACTGAACAAAGGGCAAAAACTTAGCCTTCCGTTTTCTCAAAACAGCATTTTTCAGGATAAACCCCTTGTACTTTAAAGCGACCAATTACACAACTGTATGGGTTTCAAAAACATCCCCTTGGGGATTCAAAACAAGGCCATTCGCAGCATAGCCCACTGTGGTACCAACAAGGTTTATGGTCACATAATGGTGCTCTCACTCTATGCTGAAAAGGCAAACTGTACAAATTTTCCAACACACACACCCTATGTGTACCCTATGAGTGGAAAAAAATCATCACTGTGGCAATAAGTAGAAATCTGACCTGGAATAAATACGGGAAACAACTTTATACATCATGTGATGATATCTTGAGTTCAAACAAACCAGAGACACTGAAGCTAAATTCTGAATATCAAAGTAGGGGTGTTGAAATTATACAAAACTAAAATTTCATCTGAATTCATTCTGAAATTTCAAACACATACGGCAGAAGACGACAATAAGCAAAATAAGAGGGGGACCAAAACAAAAAAAAGAAAGAAAGAAAGAAAAGACATTTTACTCTATTTGTAGCACAGTTGAGTAAATATATGTTTGAAAAAGCCAGCCAAATAATTCCTTTTTCCTCTACTTTTTCCCTTCCAGCTTTCCTAAGCACAGGCCAGCTAAAAACAAAACTGACAACAGAATGGACTCAATTCTGTTTTTCTTCCACAACTCATGTGAAATGAAGTGTCCTTTTATCTACAACAATGCTCATACACATTGAAACCTTGACTGTTACAGTAAAAAAGCCAAATACTCTGGCCACCTACAAGACCACCTTGTACCTGACCCTAGAAGTGAATGAATGCCTTCACGAAAATATTCCACAGCACGTAGAAAACTTGCCAACAGCTTTATCTACCCTGTCAGACTCCAACAAAAACCAACGTAGTGGTTATGAGGCCCTCGGCCTGCATAAAACTTATTAGAAAAAAAAGAAGAAGCTTGAAATGCTTTTAATTAACACAAATTTACAAACATCTTTGAGCACCAAGCTCACGGCTACGCATTTCCACTTTCTGGTAGCCCTGCATATCTCTCATGTAGAAAATATTAACTGTGTACAGAAAACGGCTAAAATAAACAGGAGAAAACAACAATAGGAAGAAGTGGAACCAAACTCCTACCTATGTAAAAACTGAACAAAACCAACGGGGACATATTTACATAGTACTGAACCTACCAATGCCAAAGTCATCAAAATCCAAAAGAAAAAAAATAGTACCAGAAAAAAAAAAAAAAGCAAAAGGTTGTGCCAAAATCCTCGAATGACCTGTTTAGAAGTACCTCAGAACAGCATCATCAGCATACACCATAGAGGGACCATGACACAATCGATGGAAGAGGCCAGAAATGAAATGGGAAATTTAATTTCATAAAATAATACATAAAAGAGATAAACATCAAGGGTAAGCGAAAATTAACCAATCCACTATGTACAAATTTTTCTTTTTCCTCTTTTTTTTTCATATTTTTTTGTGGGTAAGTGTCAATTGTTGAATACAAAGGTACAGTTGGCTTGTTCCGAGTACAAAAAGAAAGGCATTCACCACAAAACATTAATGGAAGCATATCTTCAATCTGATCATGAGTTGGATGCAGATGAAAGAGGATATTTTTCAATGTGAAAGCAACATGATCATTACGAATAAAACCTGTTAATTAATAAATAATTGATAAATACAATTTGACAACCAAGTTATACAGCTTATAACTAATTCATTCCTTCATATGCAAAACAGTCAATGAGCAATACAACTTGTCCACGCAGGAAATCCAACAGCACTCAAACCTAGACACAACGCTTTCCGTTCTCTCCGTTGCAAGTAAAGCTGTAATATGTAAGTTCATGAAAGCACCAGCGTATTTCTGTGACACCACGGCTGTCTTGGGTCATGACTGATCTCAAGTCTGCTTCTCACAGACGTGGCGGGGAAAAGGAAGATCCAAGCTCTGTGGACCCAGTGTCAGGTGGATCACATTGTCCGCGTGACGGATCAAACGAACACCGTATACCCGATGGGTCAGGTTAAGTCTGGTCCAGTGAGCTAAACGTATGGTATAGTATGGGGTTTTACGGCGCTCACAACTGCATAAGGTCATATGAGCTAAACGTACCACCCTGAGGAACATTCCCCACCGTATAAACAAACGGCAACAAGGCAAACTTATAAGCCCAGGCCTCTGTTGGGTCGACATGGCCTCCTTCAAGCCTGCCCGTGTCTCCACAGATCCCAGGGCACAGCTCAGCAGCAGTCGGCCTGCCCCACCTCCCCATGACGACAGTCCTCCGTGGTAATACTGTTGTGGGGGGTTCCAGGTCCCCAGCTGTCTGTCCCAGACGTCTCCCATGAGCCCCGGCCTGCAGCACGGGCCAGTCACGGGTCAGGCCGGTCGGCCCCACACCCAGGCAGGAGATTCAAACAGCCGTAGTACTGCAACAATATCTGGGATGTGTGCACTCTTGGCATTCAGAAAAGATGCACACAAAATATCAGCGCCAAAGTGATGATTGTTCAACAGGCAATGCCCTGTTATGAGTAACATGAGAATGGATCAACAGAGGAACACGAGATGTAGGACACTGGCCGCATCAACAAAGCCTTTCCCTTCACTTTGGGGGGGGGGGGCGCGGCGTTGTCACCATGATGGCCTTACACTTTCAGAAAGGCAGCGTACCTTTCCCACCACCACCCATTGGGACTGGGCTCATCGAAACATCTTGTGACTGTGCAACAACTGACCGCGACCACACAATGGATAACACGACATGGTGGGAGAACACAGGGGTCCACTCTGCTTGGTGAGACCATTGCACAGGTCAAACGGTACCCTAAATGCTGAAAAAAAGACTGTGGAAATATCATGAGCACTCTCTGTGTGTGACTGTTAGAATAAGCAAAACTAGTCCAACATCACAGGGTGCAGAACAAGTAGCAAGTGCAGGTGCACACTCGCTGCCATGTGTCGGGAATCCTACATGGAGCCAGAGCACGCACGTCCTGGTGAGCTTCTCCACACATTCCCCAGTATGACCAGGACATCGTCTCAGCAGTGGGTTTTCCCCAGACGAACACGCCATGCCCCTGAACACTGTGGTTCCCCGAGTAGCCTTTTGACTGTTCCCTTTACAGAACTATAGCTACGTCACAGGGAATGTTTGACCACTCGCCCATATCCCACCAGCAGCAGCGATAACGATGTCCTATGAACATGTATGACAGGAGGTTGGTATCGACAACGATGTCCGGTGAACATGTACGACAGGAGGTTGGTATCAGACATCTGCAGTCCACCACCCTCCACCCCACTGACCAGCGTACACAGAAAGAACTGTCCCTGACAAAAGCACTCTTATCATATTCCTGATGAGCATGTTGGTGTCCAATCCAAGACTATTTGCCCCTCACAGCAGACCCTCCCTGACTGGAAAGGAACCCTTCTGATCCGAGGACTTGACCACAAAGTGACACTGTCTGCACGTGTCCGTAATGAGGGCGTGATGGTGTCGCTCGCTACAAGCAGGTACAAGCCTTGGTGACTGAGACATCTGAAAGTCCAAGAGTAAACAACAAAATCGTTCCTGATGTAGAGTGATGACTGGGTGGCCCATGATGCAACAGGTCAGTGCACTGGACGTCCAATAGCTCCGGTGACTAGAAGGCAGAATCCCTGTCAGAGAACAACCCAGCCTCACCCTGAACCAGTTCATCAACACAGCCAGAACACCATTCAAAACATTGCTAGGTATAGCTTCTCTTGAGATCTCAAGTGCATTCCCCCCCTTTTTCAGAGGCAAGACTTGTAAAGAATGATTTTTCATTTAAAGTCAAAATTACACAAGTCGACCACAAGAATGAGCACATTCTTGATGAACAATTCAACCCTACCTCCCCCCCCCCCTCCCCCCAATTCTAGAAAAGAACTTTATGGAACATATTACATAGAAAAATAGAGCAATTGTCTTACTTAGTGCGATTCAAGTATGTACACAAGGGTGGGGGGATAGGGGTGTGACATTGAGACCACACATTCACTTCCTCCATATACTCTCTCAAGTATACATTTTCAACAGAAACCTTCCACCAACGGAAACCCGTCACTATCAAAAGAGAAATTCCATGCAACTGAAAACATTTCACACAATACTGTACACGTGCCGGGGCACTGGGAATCACAGGATTTATCAGAGGTTTGCCACCACGGCCTTCTGCAGAAAACAATCTCTGGGAGTTTCCAGAAAGCCTAATCGTGAGTTCACAAGTAGTCTCTGAAAGCTCGCATAAAGATTGACGTTTTAAAACAACCACTTCTGACAAGTGACGCAAAACTACAAGATGAGTTGAAGCACTTGTCATATCCAGAGAGAGAAAAGGCCTCCATGCATCAGTGTGAGGTGATGAGACAAATGGTCACGTCTACAACCAGCATCTGATGCACAAGATATGTTGTTTGGCAGCATTATGGTTGGGCGGGGTCAGGGGATGGACAATGCAACACCTCACTTGGCACGGCCATCCCCTTTCCTCCTGTCAAACTTGCCGGCTACTGCCCGGTTCTCCTTTGAGTTTCTCCTTCCATTAACCGGCCGGGAGTTGGGAGGGCCCTCCACACGGGGCGAGCTGTCTTTGGTAGCTCGGGGAACGGTACGGTTGGCTTGTGGCTGGCCAATCTGCTGTTCTCGCAGTCCATTGCCAGTGGGGGCGGCCTTGTACGTGGAATTGCCGCCAGGGGCAGCACAAGTCTGAGGTGCACTAGGGTTCCCGCCAGATGTTGCCTGGACGTTGTTGGCCACCACAGCGGCCACTGCTGGAGGTTCGGCAGCATTCACACCATTGTTACCAGCAGCCTCCCGGTTCTTCTGAGCTGCTATTTGAGCATATGACAGTTTGGGGCCACTTGCTTCCTGTGGAAAATTCAGTTTTTTCGTTTTAGTATGAGTTTTACAGTACTTGCAACATAATTAAGTAAAAAAGGTCTCAAGATTTAGAGGTGTTACTAAATTGCAATGTACAAAGAAAAGAACATGGCGAGAAAGGAAAGATAAGACACTTTGTAGGAAAGAAGGAGCAAACCACAACAGAGCACCCGCCAACCACCCACCCAGAGGAAACAAATAATGACTTTTTTTTAAAAATCAGTATAATCAAGCAATGAATGTTTACTGTAGCAGAGCAGACAACAAGCTCCTGGTGACAAACACGGCACAAATTCAGATGAAAGCGCTTACTGCGCTATTGGGAACCAATTTCCAAAACAATTAAGTCTTTTTTGGTGGGTTTTTTAAAAGAACGTTTGGCAAAAGCAATGCTTTTCAGACTTTGGCAACTGCTGTAGGTCTTGGTTTGAATTTGAAACAAACTGGACAAACCAGAGCTGCAAATAGAAAACAGCATATAGCAGTGGACAGTGACTAGCAAACTGCTGGGAGAGGTGGTGGAGGAACACATTTCTCCTGCTTAGTGTAAGACACCGCTATAACACCACTTTGAAACCAAAAAAAACCCGATTCGTTGATTATTGTCCAGTTTATGAAATTCAATTTTGCAGTGTAACAACTTTATAGCCAGTAATCATAGAGAGCTCATCTTTTGACACAATGTGTCCAGCTGCGCAGTAATTGATTTCACAAAAAAAAAAACCTGATTTTTACAAGAAGCAGTTAATGACCAAGCCTTACACTAAGCCGTCGATGATTTAAAACATTTTCTACCAAACTTACGGCAGGGGCAACAGCACAGACTGGCGAGACCATCTGCTGGGCGGCCTGCTGTGGTTGTGGCCGCACTGAGGGGGCCGGCTGACCCAGACTGGGACGTCCAGCCAGTTCCATGTGTCGCTGGCCAGGTGCACCCACGTTGGCCACAGGTGTGGTAGCCTTAGGACCTCTGGAAACACAAACATGACAAAAAATACAAATAATAAAACATTGAAGAAACACAATGATTTTAAAAGAGAAAGAATCAAAAAGTTTCAGGGACTTTAGGGACCATAATAAATAACAAATAACTAAGAAAGTACAAATAAAAAGGTTGTTTCTTAGATTGTTTTTTTCTTTCTAACCTGGTCTGTTCACCAACATCTGCTCAAAGAGAAGCACGTCAACACAGTAACAGCCATTTAGAGCTACCAAAAAGTAATACTGACTGACAGAAATAGCAAAGGGAGATACAGAAGTAGTACCAACCGCAAGCACCCTCCAATCCCGCACTAGCAAATTTCCTGGCATCTAGAAAGAAACAAAATACAAGCTTTGAGGATTACCTCTGAGGTAAGGGAGCTCCAAGCGAGTCCGATGCTCCTTGCACATCCGGAGCCACTCGCACGTCCTGACTTCCAGCATCGACGTCGTCATCGGGTGAGGAAGAGGCGACCTCGTCATCCGCCGCCGGCTCGCACACCTCAGCTGACCGCACCTCCACCAGCGCTGGAGCGGGCAGGGACTGAGGGTGGCTGGCCGTGGTGTTCCCCGCCGTGCCGGCCGAGGAGATAGAGGCCGCGGCCGCCGGGACAGAGTTTGGGGCAGGGGTGGCCACAGGGCTCGGGGTGGTGGAGGTGGCCCTCACAGACGAGGCCACAGAACTGCTGGCACTCGTGCCACCTGGCAACCTGGGCCGTCCACGGACAACATCGGCCAGCTTGTTCTCAAACATGTTCTCCGAGGAGGCGATGTTGCTCTGTACAGTTGGAGAAAACAAAAGTAAAACATATAAATCATCATCATCATAGCCTTTCTCAGACTGGATCAGGATATAGGCCACGAACAAACACTTTCCACCTTTCCTTATCCTGGGCTAGTCGCTTGATGTCACTCCATGTCTTCCCACTTTTCTATACATCCATTTCTGTGACTCTTTTCCAGGTTCCACATGGTCTTCCCCTTGATCATTTACCTTGTGTGTTCCAATCTCACACTTTCCTGAAATAAATCATACTCCTCTTTTTTCCATATTTTTTCCTAGTCAGTTTATCTGCTTTGATACTGAGCTGCTGATCGTGTTGCTGACCAGCTAATGAGCTAGAGTAGAAGATCTTTAAAACTTCTAGGGATGCAAAGACATTGATTTTTGTTTCCGTATATGAAGACATGAAGGACTCCCTCCCCTGTCCAACAACATGATATAGCAATCCATTTTGAAATCTCTTCATTGACACGATACAACCATCCAGTATCGAACCAAATAACGCACTGTGCTAGTGGAGGGTGGGAGGCAACTAAATATCAGATGACAACACTTTTGAAAATTCATATGGTTAGTCAGTGAAGGGAAAGGGAGATCTATGTCAAAGAAAAAAAAATGAGGTTTTGATAAAATAAGCAAAGCAAATAAACAAGAAAAACCTGAACACCATCACAAGGGCTTTTACAGGAATATATGCGAGTGTGACAATGAAAACCCACTGTTCGGGTGGTATTCCTCAATAAAAATGGGCCGTACATCTGAACAAAAGAACTGACTGAGCAGTAACACTTACCGTAACTCCAGGCAGGGGGGGAAATGAGTTGGCCTCCATGGTGAAGTTGTCAGCAACAGGGGGAACCTGAGAACTGAAGTTGGCTCTGTTGGACTGATTCCTTTCATTCTGTCGCTGTAAGAGGAAAAGAAACATTGTTAACATAGATGGCTTTACAAAGACTGCCTTACACTGTGATGATTTAAACCCAATAATTGGTGCTATACAAGTTTTCAGGCTTTTGGTCCAATATACTGGTGCCAGACTGTCAATGCATTTGTAGCAAAAAGAACACATTTTACAAACAATTCAGTCTTTAGCAGGCAACTAGTATTATTCCCTTCAGAGATGGGTGATATGGTCACTTATATCTGATACCACCGGCAACTGTTCTACACAATGTGACAATTTATAGGTGACCTAACAAATCCTTGGCAGAGCCAGCCACACAAAAAAATTACAGTAATTTTATTTAGACAGAATGGGGGATTTTGATTATTTGATTCAACTTCAGCATACTGATGTTAATTTTTTTATTTTATTTTACTTGAAAGTACATGGTCTAACATAGCAAACCCACAAAGAACACCAAAAGCCAAAACTCCAGAAGCTCCCTGAGATTTACAACATTATTGCATCTAATCTCAGGGATGATCATTTTGAATTTTGATTTCAGATAAGATTTATATGGCGTTATTGAGAACAATAAAAGCATGACATTAGTACTGGGAGCTGGCAGCAAAGAGGTACGATGTCCAACGACACATAGTGATAAGTGCTTAACTCTTTATCTCCTAGGGGGGTAAACCCGCTACCGGGCCCTTTTTTGGTGCTAAATCTAAAAATGACAAAAAGGTAATTAAATGGGTCATTAAATCGAAACAAGCAAACCTTTTTGATAGTTCATCGTCTAACTTCTGGTAAAAGAGATCTGTTTTCGGCAATTGCGGAAAAGTAATTTGATGTCGAAGTCGTTGTAAAAGAATGTGCCCAAGCCGCTTCAGTGGCTTACCGGCACAGCAGTTCCGACCGCGAGCTGCTGGGAGCAGCTTGCCGGAGATAAGGAGTTAATACTAACTTTGTGATATCCATACATACAACATTCTTCCAATCCAGTAAAAACTAACAATGATGAGAACAGAGAAACAAGAAGAAACTTACACTGCTCCTGGGATTGTCCTCTCTCTTGCGTCTCGGTCTTCTGAAAGGAAGTAAACAGAAAAAATTCAAATCTTATCACAAGGAAAACCTCATGTGTAATGAGCTTAAAAAGTCTCCAAACTAATAAACGGCATTATAAAAAGCTAATTAAATCTCTGGCAGTGTTATTACCTAGCACAGTTACCAGTATACCACAAGGGCAACAGAGGGAGCCATGTACACTTCAGAATACCACAACATCATAACAAACATTTTTTTAGTCCATCAAAACAAACAAGTTCAAATTTTCTTTTGTGAAAAATTATGTTCTAATGAAATTGTCACAAATCAGAGAAAGACAGAAGTAAAACTGCACATAATCAGCTACGCAGTTTAGGCTATGGTGAGAAATTGAGCTGAAATAGATCATACAGGTAAAAGCATTTCATGACAGCAATATATGTGGGAGGAAAGAACCACCAATACTTAACAATAATGTTCTAAAACTGGACAGTCAAAAGTCTACTTCTCTTTCATAAGTTTCCACTAAGAGGGTTTTCACACATCACAAACCTCTTACACATACCTATTATAATTAAATTACTATAATACATTTGTATACTATAAGAACTGCATATCTCCACGTTACATACAAGCCCCATGAAAACTGATAGCATACTTCTCACAGTGCTACCCACACATTCAATCATGCAAGCACAACAGAAGGATTTTGTTTCTTGGCATGGGCCTTTGCAGACAGCAATTAAAAAGACATCACTTATCAAAAACAGACATTAAAATCCACCAGTTAAAACAATTTAAAATTCTTAAAGTTGCTGACAATTTAAAACAAAGTATCATGTATACATGTTTTGCAAATTTATTTTTTTCCCCTCTTGACCAACTTCCTTTATAAAAGCAATGATCTTTCCAATCAACAGTATCAAAATGCATGTCTGTACATTTGAAGCATTCAAAGTACAGTTGAATTCAAAACAGCAACAAGCAGACAAGAAATACAAGCACCTACCTGTCATTCCTCCCACCCTGGGGGGCGTTCTGGTGTTGTGGGTGGTGGTGATGCTGCTGCTGATGCTGAGGGCCCGGTGGGGGCGGGGGCAACTGATGGTTATGATGATGGTGAGGTGGCATAAGTCCATGCTGGTGGTGGGGGTGGTGGCCCGCCCCCTGGCCTGTCTGTTGGTGTGGGTGGTGTGGGGGCGGCTGGGGCGGGGGCTGCTGTGTGTGGTGCTGGTTCACCGACACGTGCTGGTGGTGGGGGGGCGGGGGCTGGTGGTGGTGATGGTGGTGCGGGTGAGGGTGGTGGGGGGCCCCTGGCTGGGAAGGTTGCTGCTGCTGCTGGTGATGATGGGGCGGCGGCGGGTGGTGATGGTGACTATGGTGCTGTTGTTGTTGTTGCTGTTGCTGGTGATGGTGGTGAGGCAGTGGTGGTGGGGGCTGGTGATGATGGTGATGAGGGTGGTGGCTCTGGTGGTGTCCCATCGGGGGCGGGTTGTTCGTCTGGGGAGGCACGGTGCCTGTGGTGTTGCCGCCCAGTCCCGTCTGCACCATCAGCGGCTGCTGGTGATGCTGCTGCTGGGGCTGGAAGTGCTGGCCCGTGGCGGCTGCAGCCGGATCCATCACTGCGGGGTTCGGGGCCACCACAGCGCCGCTGTTCGACGCATGCTGCTGCTGCTGCTGAGGCTGGGTTACCAGCGGGGTGATGTACTGGTGCTGGGTGGCCGGGGGCTGGGGCATGACGGCCGTCACCTCGTCGTGACGTCGCGGCACATATGCTCCCTGCGGCACCAGGGCACCGCCATTGCCGTCCGCATTGCGGGGACTCGACCGGGCCTGGCTTCCCGACACAGTCACCTGGGAGGGCCGGTCACTCGGGCGCTCCGACGCACTGCGCTCCAGGTTACTTTGTCTGTTGGATCTTGGAGGCCTGGGAACAAATCAGGAAAATGATGAAAATAAATCCCGGCACTGTCGACGTTGAGAGTTTGAGTTTAAAAATGGTTAAATAATTTATTAATCGTCGTTCAATATTGGTAAAAAACAAGAAAGATAGAACAGAAACAATCATGAATTTCTGCAGCTGCACAGAAAACCATCATCACCAATACAAACAAAATAACTGTAACAGGTTGTTGTGTACATGTACATCAATAAAGTAATTATGAATAAAAAAAACCTGACTCGTTATCTTATGGCAGATCAAGTAAGCACTATTAGCTACAACCCCTGAAATACACTTCAGGCACTCAAAACTGGTGTATTTTAAAAAGAAATGAAAGATACGGCATCATTGGTGCACATTACACTCTTAAAAAAGGAGCATCTGACAACATGAGGTACATCAGCAATTAAAAAAACAAACTCAAGAAACTCAGCATGTGAGCATGAGTGAGGGTTATCATAAACGATACTGGTGGAGAAATGCATTGAGTTGATACCCAAGGAGTTTTGAGTAAATAGACTTAAAATCAACATAATAATCCTTTATAATTGTTAGGGAAAAGTTAAGATGGACAGAAACAAAAAAAGGGCTTTTCAAAAAAGCAGTAGGAACTACTTAAGGGGCCCTCCAACTTTTCGCACAGTCAAAGAGAACTGCTTGAACTATAATGTAAACCATAATGGAGACCGAAGGTGTGAAGTGTCACTTACTTGGCAAATCGATGCTGGGCATTTCCACTCTGCACCAGGTGCGGCCGAGCCATCGGCGTGCGGATGTGCTGGGGCTGAAGACCATTGTTCTGCATAATCTGCATCGCAGAAAGGACAGATACAGGTGAGCTTACTTTCATAAACAATCTTGTGAACAAGTTATGAATCCATCAACGCATTGAACAGAAAAGGCATTAGTAGTCCACAATGGCAAACTTCGTTCTTATACCTTCCTTGAGTCCACGGCCGATTACTTTTAACCGTAAGTTTCATAAAGAGGCGTCACAGCCAATTTAGTCCGTTGTAATTTAAGTCCCTTTTTCAGTTGGTTTATCTCATTTTCTTTACATGACAAAACACTTCAACTCATCTCAACAAATGACCGCTATTGGTTAGCTTGTTCTCCGGCATTTTCCAACATAATACAGTAGTCTCTGCCTTAGATCCCAATGCTAGAGAGAAAGGAAAACGCAGGATCTCAGCTGATTCATCAGGGGAAGGATCCATTGTGAATCATGGTCAGGCCCTCACTTATTGAAAAAAACTCGCTGTTACGCTGACAGGGTCTCGTTCAGGTATACCCTCACCATATCTGGTCAATAAATAAGAAAGCCTTATGAATTTGAATTTCATTGTTTATTTTCAAGATGGCAACTGTTTCCATAGCAACCACTGTAGCTATGCCAAAATAAAATTGCGTATCAAGAGATTTTTCTATGCCTAGCTTATGTGTGTACTTAGATTTCATCTCGGGCAACAAACATAGAAAATGGTCCTCAAGGATCACTGCTCCTGTTAACCAGTCCAAAATTTACAGCTTACCATCTCTGACAGAGTTCCGCGCTCCCGTCAAAATACATTATTGTACTGTGACAGCACCAATTAAAATCCAGTGTCTAGCAAATTCGGGGGATGAGATGAGAAACAACAGCGATGGTTAGGGAAAGTACAGTTGAGTTCACAATTCAATGTGACTGGAAAGTACAGATGAGTTCACAGCTCAATGTGACTGGAAAGTACAGATGAGTTCACAGCTCAATGTGACTGGAAAGTACAGATGAGTTCACAGCTCAATGTGACTGCAAAGTACAGATGAGTTCACAGCTCAATGTGACTGCAAAGTACAGATGAGTTCACAGCTCAATGTGACTGGAAAGTACAGATGAGTTCACAGCTCAATGTGACTGCAAAGTACAGATGAGTTCACAATTATTCAATGTGACTAGGAAAAGTACAGATGAGTTCACAGTTCTTCTTCTTCTTCGTTCTCGATGGCAGCAGCTAGACAGTCAGTCCGATGTCGCGTACAAACTGTGTAGTTCGTTTCAACTCTGAAAGACTGCCATAGAGTTTTTTCTCAAGGTCACAGTTCAATGTGACTGCAAAGTACAGATGAGTTCACAATTCAATGTGACTATCTGTCGCAGCCTTGCAGGCCCTGCCCACCTAGCTTGAGATGTCAGTTCAGGCAGAAGGCTCAAATGCGAGTGTGATGTTAGGGGAAAACAAACATATTGACGAGTTAACACGTCTGCATGATCCTGTCAAGAGCAAACATTGTACCCACGCAATGGAGATGTGATCACATTCATGAGAGTGGATGATCTGTGATGAACCGGGCAGATCAATAATCACAAATTAAATTTCGATGCTTGGTTGATCCAAAAAGCTGAATCTTACACAAATGTAGACCTTCTGTGTGGGATCTTAGAGGTGACTTTTATGTCGTAAAAATTCCATTTTCTTGAAATGGCGGGATCTAAAGCAAACCCAGATGGTCAGCAGTGGGATCTCAGGTGTAGACTACTGTATAGTGAAATCATATAAATCCTCCCCCCCCCCCCCCCCCCCCCCCCCCTCCCCCACACCATAGACTATTTGTTAGTGATGCTTGGAGAGTTCCAAGTAAACTCTTCAGTAAAACAGCAAGCTCAACATACCGAAGCATACTAGTCATAATTTTTAAGAGAAACTTCCTCAGCATAAAAAATGGTGAAAGCGCTAAATAGAATGCTTTGAAGTAAATGACAAAATCTTTATTAGGGAAACTTTTATCTTTTCCCCCCATAAATTTAGGACTTAAAAATCCTCACATTGTGACCCTTTAATCTGGACCAACACCATTCCAAGAGGGTGAAAGTCTTGCATCCTCTCAATCAAATGTTGGGTTGTGAAATGTAGACAAAAATTAAGACCATGCTTGCCCAGATAATCCCCCTCGAGTGTAGAGCTGGGCGAAAACTCGCTTCCCGAACCGATTCCCACGATTAATGCTACGGAAGAAAAGTTCCGACTTCTTTTACGTAAACCATCAGTTACCAGTTACTTTAATAATTAAAATCTCTTTTTTTACAAATGTATTTTTGAAGAAAAAAAGTTGATGCTTCGAATAAGGCTATAAGAGTAAAAGATCTTGACAGGCCTCTAACCACCTCAAAGTTCCACAACCACTCCTTTACTGCTATTTACAATGTACAATGTTTATGTTGGTACACTCAGCTGTCCATAAAATTTAAATGTCCGAAACTTCAGTGCATGCTGATTGGCCTTGACATATATATGCATCAAATTGTACGTGTCAGCTAAAATAACTAACGGCAGATTCAACCAAGCAGAACTAAAGTACATCTAAGATCATTTTTCACGAGCCTTCAAAAAAATATCATCCATATGGATCTAAAACCTGGGCCTAGCACCAAAACCAAAAGAACATTGTTAAATACAGAAGTAGTCATGCAGGCAGGGTGTGTTGCCATGCATGTTAGACAAGAAATCTCAGGGAAACATTACAAAACTTCACCGTTTCCTCAGTAGGCAGTGTACAAAATGATTTTAAAAAACTTGAAGTGACCCCCCTCAACCATTCACCTTTGCTCTTTCAGCTTTTAACTGACAAAATTCACAAGTTTATTCTCACTTGATCACCTTCCAAAGGTGCAATATTATATAAGAAGAATTGAGCATAACGAAGCATCCAAAAACAAAAACAAAATCTAACAATGCAAAATCAAAGAAACGAAAAAATTAAAAGGACTTTGTTTTAAACAAATCTTTCACAGCCGTTTAACAGAATGGTAATTCAAAGATCTTTAGAAAAATTTGACTTGTGGATGTCTTGTCTCGTCTTGCAACCCTTAAGAGATGGCTTTGGATTCTGTCTTGTATACTTGATATTACTTTCAGTTCAATTCCATACAGTGTCAAAGAAACTATGCAGGGAAAACATGAGATGTGACATGATTAAAAACAATCAGACCTAACCAATTGCAGTATCTAAGACTTACTTCTGGTTGGAAAAGCTCCTGAAAACCAGTCCACTACTTTCTCAAACACACAAGTAAATAGAAGCAATTGTGATCTTGTGATCCCAGGTAGCCATTTATGATAAAATGAAAACAATATAAACATTTCTTTGACCCTGTAGAATCTAATAGAAGCAAAATCTTTAAAGATATTTTGTTTTGTCCTTTAGTTGATTTCTCTTTTTCAACAATAAATAAATAAACAGCCTTTTCAACTGGTAAGGAAATGGGAGTTTGTCATCATAAACAACAGAAGATAAGAGCACAGGCAGGTTTCAGCACACAGGAGCACGCGGAGGCACGTAATAGTAGCAGCACACCATGCGCACGCCACACCCCTTGGGCCCCCCCTCCCCTCACCCCTCAGGCAAAGCCAGTTAGAGACAAACCAGTGAGTGTCATCAAAGATCAATCAAGACGGGGGAAAAGCCTGGACTTATTTACAGGGACAACCATTGACCAAACTGAAAGAACTTTTGCCAGAAAGCTATACTGTCTACTTCTACTAGAGGAGAGAACTTCATAAGCTTCTTTTAGAAATAAAAAAATGGGCTAAAAAAAAAACAGCTACAAAGTGCAAATGAAAAACCTGCACTTTGGAGAAATTTCGCACGAAAGCACTTCCTAAAAGAAACTATCAGACTTGCAGATTCAACTGGCAACAAAGACTTTGAAAAAAGAAAAAAGCTTGCTGGTATAGTCATCTAAACAAACCCAACTCAAACAGTAAAATAGGAAGATACAAAACAAATCTGTTAACAGAAAAATCCAAACCAGGATACAACTGGCAATGAAAACCGAAAGGGGAAGGAAAAAATGATACAGGGGATGTGGGGGGGCCCAGAACGGAAAGGGGCTCTCCGTCAAAGCTACCTGCTGGCTTGCCGCCCTTCTCTGCCTGTAGGCCAAACAGATGGCCTCAATACTCACAAGCCCGGGGTCGAGTCCTGCAGCCCCTGGCCAGCCCTGGGTGATCATTTGGGGCACGTAGGGGTTCATGTACATGCTTTGGGGGTGAGCTCCCTGTCGAAAAAACAGATCAGTACCTATGTACTGGCAGTAGAAGAAAAAAAAAAGCCATAATTGGGAATATGAAATTCAAGAGGTCACAACACCAAGATGTTCCGTCTGGTTTGCTTCTTCTCTCTGTCACAATATACATGTTTTTGGGTTGTCGGGTTTTTGGGTTTATTTTCAAATTCCCCCAGGAGGTAATAAAACCAAACAAAGCCAGTGTCAAAAGACCCTCAGCTCTGAGGTACACATCTTGTTGTTATGATTGACATAAATAAACAAGACAGATCAAAGGTTACAACAAGAGGGATGTTGACATGGCAACAGGACATGAAGGAGGTCGAGGAAAACATGAGGCAGATCAAGAATGGTGCGTGTGTGTGTGTGTGTGTGTGTGTGTGTGTGTGTGTGTGTGTGTGTGTGTGTGTGTGTGTGTGTTGAAACTAGGGCAGTCCATGAAGACACAATGTAGGTTGGGGTGAAACAAGGGTGGTCCATGAGGACACAATGTAGGTTGTGGGTGAAGCAAGGGTGGTCCATGAGGACACAATGTAGGTTGTGGGTGAAACAAGGGTGGTCCATGAGGACACAATGTCGGTGGTGGGTGAAACAAGGGTGGTCCATGAGGACTTACAGGAGATCTACCACAAACATGATGGTGCGAAGAGGACACAAAGGAGATCTTACCACAAACACATGATGTCGCAAAGAGGCCACAAAGGAGATCTACCACAAACACATGATGGCGCGAAGAGGCCACAAAGGAGAGCGGGAAGGAAAAGGGGAAAGTCACAGCATTAGCAGAACACAGAAAAACACTGAACAGAAGCTCTACATTTTTATGAAAGAATATAACATTACAAAGTTTTAGCTAACATGGTTTACTGAGTAGAATTTGTGCACATAATCATATTCCCCCAGACGGTCGAATGCTGTTTTCAAACAGTTCAACGTCTCTGCAACTTTCTCAAGAAGAACCCCACAAAAACATTTCAACCCCATCCAACACTATCGACAAACATTAACACTTTGCCACCTCAATCAGCGATGTTAACCACCCAGTTTCTTTGGACTTTCCCCAAAATATGACGGCAAAGTGTTTAAGAGTAATCCCTTTCCCCAAAAAAACCAAAAGTTTCTTCAAACAGATTTTTTAGGAGAAAAAAAACAACTAAAAATAAAACTAAGTGTTGAGCTGATTGTATGCTCACCTGAGGGTAATAGAGACTTTGGTGTCCAGCCTGCATGAAGGACGGGTGGTGGATGGGCATGGCCCCGTACTGGTGTTGTATCAGGGCAGCCTGGCTCTGGGTCTGAGGGCTGATGGGGGTCGGCGGGGCTCCGGCCGCTGCTCCCTGCTGGGCGTGGGCAATCTTGCGCTGCTGCGTCTCCTCCTGGGACGGGAAGTAGCCCGAGGCAGCATGGGTGCCCGATGACTTGATGCAGCACTGTCGGGGGAAAAAACCAAAACACAATGTAACAATACAGTTACATACAAGACTAAGCTGAGGAGAGCTTACGAAGAAATATGTTCTGTTTGTTTTAATAGAGGTTTTATGGCGCTCGCAACTGCATAAGACAAGCGTCAAGGGGTGGATTTCAACAGAGAAGCCCTTACAGGGAATCAGGCTTACTCTACTCACCTCTCTAGCTTCAACAGCACAAAGTCTGCTTCGACAATCAAGGCACCACGGAAATAGCCGCTCACAAGAGGGTGACAAACATACAAAAGTAGAGGAAATGGACGATAGTAAGGATTAGGAAAGAAAAAGCAGCAGTTCCCTGTTGCAGTTCAGGCACAGTTATGACATGATATTGATGAATCAGCCCATTTACAATTATAATTCTACTGTGCATAAGAACTCGAGATGTTAATGCCCCCTCTTTGGGAATAGCCTAAAGACACTTCCGTCAGTAGCACCACCCCGGGGGTGTCTGTTGACCAACACATAATGTTACAATACAGTAACGTACAAGACTAAGCTGAAAAGAGCTTACGAAAAAATATGTCCACACAATATCTCACTTAGTGCTGGGAAAGAGTACTCAGTATTGTTTATTCGTTTGTTGTAAAGGTAACAACTGGCTATAAACAAAAATATTGAATTTTGCAGACTCCATGAAAATGCACTTGCACGGACTCAAAACTTATGGAACCATATGTCTCATACTTTCTTTTTAGTTTAGTTTTTAGTAAGAGTTTTACGGCACATGCAACACAATAAGGTAATACAAGTTCCAAAGATTAGAAACGTTACAAGAGAATAACAAACACACAAAAAAAGAAGACAGATTTTTTATAGGAAAGAAGGAGCAAACCACACCAGAGCACCCGCCAACCACTCACATACTTTCTTTTATCAAGACTAGTCCCCTAACAACTTCCAACTAAATAATCGTACTAAAACCCAAGTTTCTCAGAACATGCTACCAGGCATCAAAAACAACCTATAAATAAGAAAAAGGAGCACAGTTCTAAGTAACTTACCCCAATGGTGTAACCATTCAGCTGGGCCTTAGATCCATGCAGTTTGAAAAACGCATCAAGACAGTGGGCCTCATTCTCAAAGCTGACATACCAGTTCGAAACATTATTCTGAACCATGATGTTTTCAATATGCATGGCCACTGGACAGTCATTGTCCCTGAGAACACTCTTCACATCCTGAAAAAAAAAAGGGAAAAGATGAAGACAGTTAGGTAATCCATTTATCAACAAGATACTCAAGTAAATCATTTACCAACAAGATAGTAAATTAACTCATTCCATAACAAGACATTTAAGTAACTATTTCGCAAAAACAGACCTACTTGCGTTTCAGGTATGCAATAGCTGATTAGTGTCGACTGGTAAGTTATAAACCAGCCTTAACAGTCTTTTTTATACAAAACTTTACATAGTTTGACATCATCTAAAATACACATTTTTGTTGGACAACTTTTAAAACCAACAATTCAGTGCTTATGGCCAAAACTCAATTTATCTTCATATCAAACAATTTCTAAATACAACTAGCTCTAAGGCCTAAAAACAAACAATAACCAAAAAAAATGTTTTTCTTTAAATTATAAAATCTACCCCCCCAATCCCATTTTGAACAAGCTAGACCTTGTACATGGATCTGAGGTCACAGAGCAGGGTTGAAGCTATGTCTTAACCCTATCCGTACGTCATGTTTTACTATCGTATCCATACGCCGTGTGGAACTCTGTGCCACCACTTTCCAAAAAGGAAATTTACTCATAAATCCAATCCGTGCGCTTTGCATTGCAGTCTGTCAAAATGACTTTTTGAGAAATACTGAAAGTTTCAAAGAGATCTTCCTACTAGAAGTATTCTAAAATGTGAAGAATACAACGCCGGGGGTACAAAATAACCCCAGGGCGTACGGATAGGGTTAAAGGAACAGGAAAACTTGGCGGTGGTCATTCCATGAAGGCATAGAGAGTCACACACTATTTTTACCCGGTACCATGCAACTTGTGGCAGGATTTACTTACATCCTCGGTGGCTCGAGGGGGCAAACCCCGCAGGGTCAAGGTCTTCCTTGTCTGAGTAACACGCACACGACTCTTCTTCTCATTCAGTTCTAAAACAGAAGAAGCTGTAAGAAAGAAAGAAAAAAAAAACACTTTTCAGTTAGTTTTAGTAAAGAGTTTTACCGCACTTGCAACACAATAAGGTTATATAAGTGCCGCAGAATAGATTATGTGTTACAAGACAGTTACATTCACAAAAAAGGAGGGGAGATATGGGCGACAGATGCTTGACAGGAAAGAAGGAGCAAACCACACCAGAGAACCTGCCAACCACCTACACTTTTCATGTCACACACTTATTAACATGCTTTGTGAAGTGGGCCAATATGCTTATTTCATAAAAAGATGGAATCCAGCTTGCTCAAACAGCAAGATGGGTCAAGGAACTGCTATTCTTAATCAGTAATGTATTCAACTAAGAACTGTAACTGACAAAAAGATAACATGCAAAACAGAAAACTGCACCTTGGAAACAGAAAGTTCACTTTCCATCACATTCCCCAAACAAACTGCCCCATCCTGTAAAGTGTCTTCAGCTCTTGACTCACTTTTTGTTTTAGTAAGAGTTTTACGACACTTGCAGCACAATAAAGTCATATAAAGGTCGAAGATTAGAGGTGTTACAAGAGAATAAAAAACATAGAAAAGAAGGAGGAGAGATCAGGACGAAAGATGTTCGATAGGAAAGAAGGAGCAGACCACACCAGAGCACCCCCCCAACCACCCACTGACTCACATCTATATTGGCCTTTTTCCTAAAACAGTAAACCCTTTCAACGGTCAATACAATAAACAAAAACAGTAATTTTTAAATCTTTGAAAACTTTATATACAGTTTCATGCGTACAAGACAAGACAAGACAAGACAAAACAGCCTCTTACATTTGATGGCCTGGATCATTTGTCCCTTTCCGTCTTTGCAAATCTGTCTCATTCTGTTGAAGCCAGCAATGACATTCAATGACACATATTTGTCCTTATCCATGTTCTGGTTCAGGTACTTGTCATTGGGCAAGTTCTCTCTGAAAAAAGAAGAAAAACCGGTTTAATTGATCATACAATTAGAATGAGTCACCCCATAAAACAGAAAGCTGAAAAGATTTGCTTTCACTAACAAGCGAACTGTGTTTTCAAGAAAAGTGTGCTGGAAAAGTACCAAAGTCAACTAAATACAGTCGAAGTCTAAGCCAGCCATCATCCATTGATGTAAAAAAGTGGCTGTCTTAGGCAGGGCTGATCAAAATGAAAAAAACACACCATTCTCCTCTGCTGTCCCGACCGGAGGCGGTTGCAGGCTTACCTCCCCCCCCCCCCCCCCCACCCCCCAGGGGAGATGGAAGAGAGATATGGAGGACGACAAATGTTTGCAAACCACACCAGAGCACCCGCCAACCACCCACTTGGCATGTTCTGTTTTAGAAAAAATTTTACAGCACTTGCAACACAATGGGGTCGTATAGGTGCCGAAGAAGGTGTTACAAGAGAGTAAAAAACACCAAAGAAAGGAGGAGATATAAGAATGATAAGTGTTTGATAGGAAAAAAAGGGCAGACCACACCAGAGCATCCCAAAACTACCCACATTTGGCAGGTTCAACTGTATTACAGTATTTTAATGACAAACATTACTTATACACAACACTTCAACATTAGGGAAGAGGTGACAAAATAATGCAACAAGGAAAAAGTGGGGATTTTAAAAGTTTTAATAAGAGTTTTACAGCACTTGCAACACAAGAAGGTCATATAAGTGCCGAATATTGAGGTGTTACAAGAGAGTAACATTAACAAAAAACGAGGAGGAGAGGGAAGGACGATGTTTGAAAGGAAAGGGGGAGCACACCACACCAAAGCACCCGCCAACCACCCACGGAAAAAGTGTATTGCCTTAAAAAAGGAAAGACTTACGCTGAAAAGTAATACTCGATCTGTCTCCTGATGGTCAACAGCACTTCCTCTGGATAGTCTTTCTCTGCACAGACAGAAAAGGAAAAAAAAACCACTTGAAAACACGTTTGAATGCATCGTCATTTGGGTTGGGAAATTTGATGCTCTTTAATAGAAGATCATGATGCCAAGTCACAAGTTGTAACTAAGGTCTATCAAAAGCTCCTATTAACATCCTTCCAAAGCAACAGAATAAACACATTTTCTGGTACTGGAGGAAAAACTTTTTGGTTTAGTTTTAGTAGAGGTTTTACGGCGCTCGCAACTGCATAAGGTCATATGAGCGCCAGAAGATTAGGTGTTACAAGAGAGTAACAAACATAAAAAAGAAGAAGGGGAGATAAGGACGATAGATGTTTGAGAGGAAAGAAGAAGCAAACCACACCAGAGTACCCGCCAACCACCCACAGAGAAAAACTAATTGAGAATAAATACTAAATGGTTATGTACACAAACACACAAAAAACAACAGGGTCTTAACAACAGCCCTCTCTAAAACCAAAACTGCCATCAAATTCTCAGGATATTGGCCAAAAAAGAGTCTTACCAATTCCGTCCCATGGTTCATCGTCGTCACTGTCAACAGCTGAGTTATCAAGAGGCGAGTCGCCATCACCGTTAGCAGCTTCTGGCTGGGATGCCGGGTTCTCACTAACCGCAGTCTCACTACTGCCATTTGCATTTCCTGAAAGACAGCAAGACAATTTTACATTAGAAAGCAGCACAATAACTTTTAAATGAACAACAAATACATTTTCTATTGTATAAAGGGGGATCCTGATGTCTTGACATTAAAACTTCCCAAAAAGATTGATCGTATATATATATCTATGTGTGAAAATTGAAAGGCATTTTCGAATAACCATTCCGGTGCTTTGCCTTATAGAAAGGTCAAAGTTTATTGCAGAAGTAAGCTAAAAGACAAGATTGGCATACATGGAAAATGTATGAGAAAGACCACTAAAAAAGGACTGAAATAATGCATAAACAATACACAGCGATTGACGCAAAGCATGAAATAATAATTCTCCAAAACATAATGAAAACAATTTAGTTTTAGTAAATTTTACGGCACTAGCAACACAATAAGGGCATGTAAGTGCCGAAGATTACAGGTGTTACAAGAGAGTAACAAACACAAAAAAGAAGGAGGGGAGATAAAGATGATAGATGTTTGATAGGAAAGAAACAAACCACACCAGAGCACCCACCAACCACCCACTGACAACAATTTGTTTATTGAACAGGGCGCAGGAAGTCAAAAGAAGCAAGGAATTTCTAACCAAGAATTTCCCCTTTGAACAACCCAAGGACCAAGCCCCACACATGACAGGCAAAGAGGGGGGAAAAAGATCAAAACTTTTTTTGTGGATAAAACTAATTTCAATACCAGGGTCTGATATTAACCTGGTTCAATTCAAACAAACAGTGAAGAGGGCCTTTTGAGAAACGAACAATACAAATCATATTGATTCACAGTTTAAATAAATAAAATTTAACGAAGATACTTTTCAAAACACCATACAAGTCTATTCAACATTGTCAGTCCTCAAAAGGAGGCGTCTCGTGATGTTTACAGTGATTCATGGATAAACAAGTGTCAGCAGTTGTGTTATGCTTTAAGCGTGTAACTAGTTTCTTCAAAAATTGTCAACACACGCCTTTAAAAAAACTGTTTTTTAATGAAAGATGATGAAAGAAAACATAAAAGTTAGCCCATGATACTTACGGCACAAGAATCATGGGCTAACTTTTGTGTCTTTTTTTTTCTTCTAGACTTTCATCAAAAACCCACAAATCAACCCCAGCAATGGGTTTCAAAACAAAAGAGGGAAAGTAAACCAAAAAAAAAAAATCCACCAATCTCTTCCAGTGATACAACTAGAGCATGACATAGGTTGATACCGAAGTAACAAATGACAGAGCCAAGTACACACGCACCTTGCGCTAAAGCCACCTGCTGCTGGACGGGGACTGCTGGAACAGCAGACTGCGGCTGGCGAAAAGCACCTGCAGTGTCTTGCATAAGTTGATACGTTCCCTGAAAACAGAACATCAGCCTTACATGAGCATAGCAGTGTCATAATTGGTTTAGTTTTAGTAGAGGTTTTACGGCGCTCGCAACTGCATAAGGTCATATGAGTGCCAGAAGATTAGAGGTGTTACAAGAGAGTAACAAACATTAAAAATAAGAAAGGGAGATAAGGACCATAGATGTTTGATAGCAAAGAAGGAGTAAACCCCACCAGAGCACCCCAAAACTACCCATATAATTGGTTTGAGTTTGGTAAGTGTCTTTCGGTACTCGCAACTGAGCCATTATTGCAATACTGCTACCGCTAAACATGGGGAAACCATCTCATCACATAATAAACTAAATATTTCTTCTCCCTGCCATGTGTACCAGCTCATTGTCACCAAACCAGGACACAAAGCCACCACATACATCTGAACATGACTCTTCCCTAACAACAAGCTTTAGTTTTAGTAAGAGTTTTACGGCACTTGCAACACAATAATGTCATATACCGAAGATTAGAGGTGTTACAACAGAGTTACGAACACAAAAAAGAAGGAGGGGAGATAAGGACGATAAGATGTCGGATAGGACAGAAGAAGCAAACCACACCAGAGCACCCGCCAACCACCCACAAATATGTCTTCTCCCTGCCATGTGTACCAACTCATTGTCACCAAACCAGGACACAAAGCCACCACACACATCTGAAGATGACTCTTCCCAAACAAGCAACAGGAGAAATTTCCATTATGAAATCAGTACATGTCTTATTTTCAAAACGCAAAAATGGGAATATTCTGCACTCATCACGATGTTGCCCCTCTTACCAACCCATATGTTCCAACAGGCAATGTTCATATGATGTCATGAAACTAAATCACAGAAAACGGTTTCCTTTTCAATTTTCTTTTTTCTTTCTTCTCCTCTTTCACAATGCATCCTGTTCCCCTGGAGGCTGCATAGCAAGAGACTCTGACATTACACCAACCTCCCGTAGTACAGAAATAAACAAGATACTTAAACCATTTTACATTTCTTGAAAGAACACCAAAAAAAGCGCCAATTTTTCAAAACGAAAAAAAACCCCACTATCTGCAAAGAAGGTCAAAGTGGTGTACATTGAATAAGTAACTCCCACCTTAACCCTTTACACACTTTTATGCATACAATAAATTCAAACTAGTCCAAGTAGACCTACCACAATTATATGTCAAAAATGTTTTAAGGTCTCTCCAATTAATTTAAGGACTTCGCTTTAATCATTATTTGCAAATCCTGTTCTGAAAGTTCATAGTTTTCTTTAGCATTGGCAAGTTTATGAAGAGCAATAATAGAAAACAGTAGTAAATACCGTATTTTTTAACACAAAAAAAACATACTTTTTCACTCAAACCCTTATAAAAAACGCACTAAATACACATTTTTAGGTTGCAGTTGGCAGATAAGTAAAATTGTTACCCCTCACCCCTAAAAAAAAGTAAGGTCAACCTACGAACTGGTCGCTTTAAAGGACAAGAGGGCAAAACCGGATTTCGAGGGTTTTCAGAAATCTTGACCTACAACCAAAAGTGGGCATTGCTCTACCTATAGGAGAAGTTTGGTTTCATTGGTGTGTATATTTGTTTGGTTATAGAGAAAACTCTCCTTGTCTTTTAAAGAAACTGAACAAGGGGCAAAACTTTACCTTCGATTTTATCAATATATAATTTTTCGGGATAGCCCCCTTGTGCTTAAAAGCGACCAACAAATACTGACATGTACATAAAGAGTAGGACACAAGTCAATCCCTCCCTTCCCTTTCAGAAACCAAAGTTTAAAATAGCCCAACACAACGAAGGAGCACAGCAGACCAAAGACATACCTGCTGTTGGGGCTGAGGGGTGACCCCCACCATTGTGGCAGGCTGACCAGTGGACTGGGAGGCCGTCATCAGTTGTCCCTGGCCCCCTGTAACCAGACCCGCGGTGGCCACTACCCCAGCACTTCCGGTTGCCTGATGGCCACTATCGCTACGAGCGCTGCCTCCGCTTTGCAGAGACACCATGTAACCTGACCCGGGTCCATTAGACACCACATGGACATCACCATTCGTCAGCTGACCTGGAGAGATAAACGGAATTCGATCGTTTACGTCATTTTTGTTCTGAAAATCTGGTACAAAAAAGAATTAATCAAAAACAGAAAAACCTGACATTTCATAAAACAAACGAATCTTCTTTAACGGCCACCTATATTAGACAATCACCAATACAAACGGCCACTAAGGGGGCTTTTGTGGCCTTGAGGTTAAGGTGTTCACCTTTCATTCAAAGGTCCTGGGTTCGAATCAGGGTAGAGACGGAAAATTTTCTTCTCTAAAATTGTCTCCTTTCACCTTTTTTCTAGTAATGGTGAAAAGTATATTAATTTACAGGGGGGGGGGGGGTGTCCTGATTACTGATTAACAAGAAAGACCTGCGGTTGCTGAAACACGCAGCAGAGCATCAAAGACCAAACTTCGAACCGTTGTACACAAATCAGAAACCAAAGTTTTAGTTTTTAGTTTTAGTAGAGGTTTTATGGCACTCAAAACTGCATACGGTCATATGAGCGCCAGAAGATTAGAGGTGTTACGAGAGAGTAACAAACATAAAAAAGAAGAAGGGGAAATAAGGACAATAGATGTTTGATAGGAAAGAAGAAGCAAACCACACCAGAGCTCCCGCCAACCACTCATGAAACCGAAGTTTGCATATTTTATAACATGCATTTAATTGCATGCCTTTGAAAGTTTCAAATGAAGAACATGAAACAAAAATTTTTTATTTGAATGTTAAAGTAGTGCCCCAAAACAGCACATCTTCATGCGTTGTCGATTGACCAGAATGCCCGTTTTCAGTGAGTTCAGAACGTACCTGGGACGGCAGTCTCGGTAGTGGCTGCCTGTGTGGTGTCCCTCTCAGAGGACGGACTCCCCTCGGTCTGGCTGCGGCCCTTGTCTGGTCCGGCTTGGCGAAACACGGGAGCTGCAGGATTCAGGTGGAGATTCTTCTGTTGCTGCTGCTCTTGGGGAGGCTGTGAACCACAACAAAATGACATTTTCAGTCAGCATGTTTGTTTGTTTTTTAGTTTCCGTATGAGTTTTTTAGTTTTAGTAAGAGTTTTACGGCACTTGCAACACAAGGTCGTGTAAGTGCCGAAGATTAGAGGTGTTACAAGAGAGTAACAAACACTAAAAAGGAGGAGGGGAGATAAAGACGATAGATGTTTGATAGGAAAGAAAAGGCAAACCACATCAGAGCACCCGCCAACCACCCACCCATATTTAACCTAAAGGAATACAGATGGGTGCCCTCTGACCACCACCAAAATGACTCCACTGGAAAGAGCTGTAAGAGATGTCAGTGTAGAAGTGTGAGCATGTCTTTTTTTTTTTTTAAGTAAGAGTTTTGTTTGTTTTAGTAAAGTGTTTTACGGCGCTTGCAACTGCATAAGGTCATATGAGCGCGCGGGACACACCTAATATTTTCAGTTGGTAGGAAATTTTGAATTTTGCCAGGGTGGCGGCCGAAGCCTACTCTTATCGATTTTAGACCACCAAGGGATCTTTAACGTGCGCAACTTGCACACGGGCCCTACGAGATTTTTTGGCCCTTGTCCGAGAAGGCTAGGTGTAGATCTTTCCTACCAGAAGATCAGGGGCGTGGCTGAAAGACAGCAGTAAGAAGAAGCGAAGGAGTAGCAGTAGAAAGGCTGCAGAAAGAATCAGGAGCCCAGAGGATGGGCAAAGGAGGTGAGGGGGTGGGGGCAGAAAGAAGAGACGAAAGCAGACGACAGAACATTGCTAGAGAGCAGGAAATGAGGTGAAAGGGACAAATTTAGAGAAGAAAATTTTTTGGTCGCTACCCGGATTCGAACCCGGGACCTTTTGAATGAGAGGCCAACACCTTAACCTCTAGGCCACGAGAGCCCCCTAAGTAAGAGTTTAACGGCACTTGCAACACAATAAGGTCATATATGTGCCGAAGATTAGAGGTGTTACAAGAGAGTAACAAACATAAAAAAGAATGAGAGATAAAGACGTTAGTTTGATAGGGAAGAAGGAGCAAACCCCACCAGAGCACCCACCAACCACCCACGAGCATGTCTTTGAGTGACAAAATTCCTCACAATAAATACCAGCCAAAAGGCCTATAAAATCGTCAGCAGCTCCAGAGAGTACTTTCATCTCTCAGCAAACTGGGTCAACACATTCCATTTCAATTACTCCCGACATAAGAAGCAGTTGTAAACTGCCTCAACAAATACGAGGGAAAACCCATTGTGAAAAGTAATTTTGTAAAAAAAAAAACCCAAAAAAACCTACAAGAGAACAAAGAAATCAGAGAGCATGATTACACCTAAAAACAGAAGCTATTCCCAGAAGCTGGGGAGACGGATCAATGACGAAAAAGGTGGCCATAAGCGAGCAGCAAGTAGGACAGGGCTATTGATTTCTCCACTAGCACATCACTACCAACACAAAGTGCGTCGGGTGGAAACATAACACTCGTCACGTGACTGCTTCGCCATATCATGTGACTCCACTCGGGTTATCACATGCTCGCATACATAGGTCACCTCTACCTTGGGAAAACCCTTTGTTCGCGCTCTAGCCTTTGATCACCAGAATTACACTCACTAAAACTGTGAGAAATAAAGACTATCCCCTTCCCCCTCCAATAAAGAAACGACAACTTAAAGTTTAGTTAAAGGGGGGGGGGACACTTTTGCAAAACAACGAGGTACAAAATGGAAACCTACATTATTAGTTTAGTAGAGGTTTTATAGCGGTCGCAACTACATAAGGTTATAAGTGCGCCAGAAGATAAGGTGTTACGAGAGAGTAACAAACATAAAAAAGAAGGCGACATAAGGATGATATATGTTTGACAGGAAAGAAGAAGCAAACCACACAAGAGCACCCGCCAACCACCCACGTCTTGGACTATTTCGACTGAAGCAGAATGGATTACTGGGATGGGTTCTTTCCACAGTAGTAAAGTACCTGAAGTAGCTCGTCTCTCTGCACGCAGAGAACGCTCGAGTTCGCAGCATAGTAGAAGACGTCTCCTGGGAGCATGTGCAGACTGCCCCTCGCCTGGCCCACCACGACACTACCGCTGCTGATGCCGGCGGGGGAGGTGGAGGGGGAGGTGGTGGTTGTGGAGGTGGTGGCCGGCGGCAGCTCGCCACAGCCCACAGACTCCTTGTCCTCACCATAGGCCAGGCCCGAGTCCAGCTTCCCGCCACACGGCCACCACAGGCCGGCCGCCGGGGGCGAGGTAGGAGGCCACCACCACCAGCGCCACCACGACCACAGCGGCGGAGGGAGGGAGGGACGCCCACGTGGGCCGCTGACCGGACACGCTTGACCGCCCTGTGCCTGTCCACACAACACAGCACCACTCACTGCTTACGACGAGACTGCTTCTCCGGCCGACGACGCAAGGCTACACAACGTCTTTGTTCCTACTGAGGTATCTAGCCTCTGGGTACTCCAAGCACTCTGCACACTCTCTCTCTCTCTCTCTCTCTCTCTCTCTCTCTCTCTCTCTCTCTCTCTCTCTCTCTCTCTCTCTCTCTCTCTCTCTCTCTCTTCAAGTTGTCTGGTCAGGGGCTCGCTCTACACGCACGAAAAGTAATGACTTCAGAACTGATCCACGTCTGAGGGACACACACTACAATGTAATGTAATTCCAACAGTGCTCGCAGTAGAAGTACGGGCATCAATTTCAGCTGAGCACTTTAAATGTCCTTCAAGCAGTGGTCTGCCCGAAGCAATTCATCACATCAGAGTAATAACAAGAATCAAGTCAAAACAGTCGGCACAAAATCCACGAAGTAGACACTATAGAAAAATGTAGCAACCGCTTGAATGAAAGTGCGAGACTTCCGGTAGGCGTGAGAGCATTATACCAAGAATGTCGTAGGACAAAGAAACACCCACTCAGATACAAAATGTTTAAGGAAAACGAGGCGACTGATCGAATAAGACACGCTTACATGGAAAGGGTGAAATAAAACCCCGCTCGTCGGTTCTGAGAACACGCTGAACACACCCCCACCCCCTCCCCGGGCCACAAGACAGACAAACAAAAGAGAGGTACCTACGCGTGGTGAACTTTCGCTGGTTTTTAGTTTTAGTAATAGTTTTCCGGCACTTGCAACACAATAAGGTCATATAAATGCTGAAGATTAGAAGTATAACAAGAGAGTAACAAACACAAAGAAGAAAGAGCGGAGATAGGACGGACGATAGATGTTTGATAGGAAAGAAGGAGCAAACCACACCAGAGCAACCGCCAACCACCCACTTTCGCCAAGAGACATTAAACTATGTTCAGATGGCACATTGGGTGCAGTCTTTCAGACACGATACAAATATCGAATAACAAACGCAGCAACAGGGAGGGGGAAGGGTGGGGAGAGTACCTGTTCAATGTAGACATTGCGCCTCATCAAAATCAACGAAGTCAGCCTTAAGTCAATCCACTACGTTCTGAGCACACACAATCAAAAGGCAAAAGTCTGCACTGAGTTAATCAAGCGGTCCAAATGAGTCATTATCGCACCAAATGTGCAGCAAGTACACAAACGTGACAATCGAAGCTTTGGGGGGTGTTCCCATTCAAATGTCCGTTCTATTCACTCAACAATGTACGGCACGCAGCTGCCATTTACTATAAGGGGGGTCCTTTCGGACCACAGGACATTTTGTTCCAAAGTAGGACTTTACCCACGTTTGACATGACGCGGTAACATACGAAGCATTGAAATTATTATTTGCATGACTAACAACTTTAAATGAAAAGAGCGCAAACAGATTAAAAGAGACAGCGCGTCTATGTCAGAGTTGCTGCTTACATAAATGTCCGTGTAGACTTTCCTACGTACCCCCCC